TCGAGATTTCCAGAGATTTCTGCTCGGAGACAGATACGTGCTCGGGGAAAGCGAGCTTTGTCCGAACGAAGATAGCTGGAGAGCCGGGACTTGCATAATTTTGTAGAGTAACGTCCGAACTATCTACGCATGTAAAAAAATTACTAATATTATATGTTAGTTTTCTGAGAACGGAGCTGGTTTTCCAAAGATCCTCTGGAAACCCGATCTTTGAAATGTTTTCAAAAGTTGTTTTCCCTTGCGAACAGTTCTGCTCAAGTCTTGGCTATCGAATAACGAAAATCGCAGGTCTCTATCTCATTCCTATAGAAAGTTATTCAAAAAACAGTCAGCCACACTATATGTGATTAGACAGCCCTGCTTTTATAACTGACTTTTCGGTTAGGCTTCATAAAGTACTCTTTTTCTTTACAGAGTAAAACTCGAGTTTTTGTGCTATTCCATTTGAGTAGTTTTGTGTGAGAGAATATTGTTGGAAAGAAATGCTTAGAACTAAATAATGGGGAAAAATATAGCTTTAGGAAAAGATTGACCAATTTTCAAAACAAAATGCCTGAGAAGTTTTACTTATCAATAAAATTCACATACATATTGTACTGTAATGGTAATCCACATGTAGCTCGATATTTGCTAAGTAGGCGATTTTCTAGATCAATTGTTGTTTGTCCAATTACATCATCACTTGTTATTAAATCCCAATCTTTGATACGAATAATTAAATCTTTTGCTGCTGGTATTACTGTAGTTATTTCAAACATTCTAAAATAATTAAACCATGTGGATTTGAATAGTACATATTGAACAGAAAGCGACATACTTTCCAAAAATCGGATTATTTGTATTTGGTATTTTTTCATCATGATTATCTAATTTTGTTTTGCCTAGTTCAATTTCGATATATGGATCAGACTAAAACATGTAAAAGAGTGACAATAATTGTTTTATACGTTATTACCATTACTTACTTTTCCACTTGTATCGTGTGGTTGTAAATCATGTGCTCTGATAATATATATGCGAACGATACACTCTTCAGAATTGGTATTCGGTATATTTTCCATCACATGTTTTGGTAGCGGTTTGTTTGAATCTTCAGGCAGCTGATAAACTTTAAATAAAGCCTAGAAAATACAGATAATCTTAATTTTTAGAAAATAGCTGATTCTAGTGGAAGTGAAAAATGACTGATAACCATTTGAATAGTTGCATACGCCTGCTAAGGGCTGCCATAATGCTTCATTTTGTGAGATTTGACAATTCAAACAAAACTGATCTTTTGATATTTTAGATTCGATTTGTTTGAACTAAATAAATTTTATTTTTACAACCGCTTTTTCGTTACAGAAAAGCTCAAGCCCTGGAAACGTGCTCAATCGTCGAGACTTATAACTTTTCTCTCAGAGAAAGAGAAAAGTTATAGAAAAGCAGTCTCGAGAACTGCGCGGATAAAAGGGGCCAGTTCAGATTTCCAAGGCTTGAGCTTTTCTATAACGAACAAGTGGTTGTAAAACAAAATTATTTAGAATTGATCCTGATGATCTTTATTCTTTAGAACTAATTTTCTGACACCGATCGCTTCCAAGAGCACTATTGCTGATCAAGTACCGCTCAATAAATGTAAAAAGCAGTTCTACGTAACATTTTCGTTATACTTTTCAAAACATAATGCATTCGCTAATTTTGCTAATCATTTTAAATAGTTACATGAAAAAAATATAAGGCTTTTCTGAATTTTCCGACAATGTTGTTTCAGTTCAAAAAAGTAAGAAAATTATACAATTATTTCTTAGAAAAAATCCACTCTTTTAGTTTGTATATTCAGGAAAAATATCCCAATTTTAGGAAATGTCCTCCCTACCTGCTTCATACCACTTTTTTCAGCAGGTCGAAGATAAAACAGAGCAAAGATGTGGCTAGAGCGAAGTAAAGACCAGTGTCTCTACGGTTCCGTCACCTCTGATACATGAAGTCAGTGGGAGAGAGAGAGAGAGAGGTCCTACTAACCATCACTGATTCCAAATCGTTTTAGGAAAAGTGAAGTGCTAGTTATCCTAGTCTCAAAGAACGGTTATATCTGGAGCAGATCTTGCAAGGTTCTTGGTCCAGCAGATTGTTTGATAAATTTTATCAGAATCTGATCTTAACCACCTTGAATAAAAACTTCATTTACGGTTTGTCAAACAACCACTTTCACAAAACTTTCTCAAAATCTGCTTACATTTTGTACAAGTTTCGTGAATTTAGTTATTTTTAATTAATTTTAAGATTAAAGAGTTTTTTAACCTCGAATAATAAGTTTTATTGTTTCACAAAGAGGAAACCGAAGATGAGAAAGCGTCGCTTCCCCTTTCTTCAAGTTTCGAACTTCAGAGATGAGAACGCTATTTTTAAACTTCTTTTTAAAATCTTTCCATTCACAGTTTTCGGGAAAAAGTCATCTGTTGCAAATATTTTTTGAAAATTTTGAAACTCCAACTATTGGCATTTCTAAAACTATGATATCTGAATAGAAGATCATTTTTTACCTCAACATCTTCTTATTAATTTTCGTTCAAAAGTTATGAAATACTGTAAAACGGATTCCAAATTTTCATTTTCATTAAAGTACAGGTCACCTCCAGTTGTCTCAAATAGTTCAGAATAGGAATAGCCGAATGGATTAAGACATGACCCGTAAACAGAAGTTACTTGGAGATATAACTAGTCCTAAATTCGATTTTCAGCTCTGGAATTCACTTTTTTCTCAGCATCTTTGCTCAACCTTGAACAAATCTGCTTTCAAAATCAAGATTTGATCACATGAGAATCTTGAAACTTCCGTTGGACATCTTCGTTACGTAAAAGTTTCGTAGATTCTTGACGACGATCCAGAAATCTGCCCAAGATCTTGACAGATTCATCAAGAATCTTGGTGAAAAGTGCAAGATTTGATCTGCATTTTCGCTCAAGATTGACCTGCTAGGCTACATGTTGACGCCTCTGAACATTATAACAACTCAGAAATTGATAATGTCTTTCACTACTATGAAACTGGGGCGAGCTAATATACTATGTAGCTGAAAATCATAATGAGAATAGACAAACCTTGAGTTCTCCAACAATTTCGTTTTCTTCTTCAAATTGTGTTCTCCCTCTAGTCAATGGAAATGCCATGCAAAAATCATTAAAACCCTGATAGATGTGATGAGATTCTAATGGGAATGGAAATATCTGAAAAGTAGATTTACATCAATTAAATATAAAACGAGATGTTTTCTAGAGTTCTGCAAGGCATTCTCGCTTCCCTCTTGCGTGGCAGTCCCGAACCCCGTCCTGCGAAACAGATGTGCCTGGGACAAAAATAGTTTATCGTGCAGTATTCGAGTCTCCGCCATCTATCCAATCATACATACCGTTATTGTTTCATGACCTCTTTGCAAATATGAACCGGATTTATTCAAATCACCTGTTGATGCATAATATTTTGACCACCAGTCAATATCTTCTTCAGCAACTGTTTTCTAGTTAAGTTAAGAGTAAATGTACAAAGTTATTAACTATCTGATTATAGTTAAAAGAATCTTGTGAAGAGAAAGTGCGGTTTCTACAACATAGTGCGTTTCTCATCAACAAGCTTACGAACATAGTATCCATAAAAAATATGTACGATACAGTAGGCAACAAAATCATTGACCCACATCTACTCTTTGACTTTGTTTCCCTTCCTATTAGGAAACCAGCTGCCAAGAGAGCTTCTCTACTCACTATTATGTAGACCATAGTCACACACTATATGTACATATTTTTAGTTCTTAACTTTGTTTCCTGTTTTATTAAAATAGTAAACAAATCATGAGTTTTAATCAAGTACGAATACTGAATAAATTTATATTGAACGAAAACTTTGAGATTATATTACAACCCTTTTATACGAACACTCTTCTAGTACAAAATAAATAATAATAACAGAATCAATTTGCACTTTCTCGCATTAGAGCTCGTGTTCGCACATAAAGCAACAATTTTTCTTCTGATGAGCCATCAATGATTTGAGTTTTTCTTTTCATTCAATAAATAAATATAATTACAGCACCTACCGTTTTGTTTTTAGCTTTCTTTTTTGTTTTTTTCTCAAGATTAAGAACAAAATCACTCGGAGGAGTTTGATAGGCTTCTGTTTTAAGCTCTAAATCATTAAAAGAATTAATGGAGTAGTTGCTAGTTCTTGTATGCTTTTATGTTATATAACATTACCCGTCGTTGCCATTATAGTTAATGATGGTGCTGTTGGATCAGCGCGAAATTTCTGTAATGATTTGATTACATGCATGCCAACAACTGGAGCAAATCCAAACGAACGATTATCTTTAACTTTAATGTTCATTGGTGGTGCATATATGTCTTCTTTGGGTAACATCTATAGTTTATATATTTAGATCTATTCAAATTTATTAGTTAAGAAACCAACGTTGATACTTACAGCATCAATAAATAATAACGGGTTATCAAAATTTGGTGCCTGTTTAGAATTTCTGACAATTGATGATTCAATTTCCCTACCACCTACTTCAAATACAACTTGTGGATTTTCCACTTCCGATAACATAAATGTTTTCATATTTCGAACACCCCAACATAAAATCTATAAAACATACAATAAACAGTATCTAAACACGTTTTTTCTTCTTTTATATTGTACATACTTCGATACCAGTTCGTACTAACTGAGGGCGAATTGCTGCTGGAACAATAAACAGTGAGCCACGCTTTGGTGGCTCTGGCGGCATTTTTATCCCACTTGATTGTGTTGGAAGCTAGATATAGAGAGGAAGAACAAAAATCTAGCAATACTGAACATCTAGTTATTTTAATACCAAGAATAATTCAAATGCAGCCAGTAGTTCACCAGCATCAGCGTCTTCATTCCCAAGTATAACTTTGTGCCATTTTAATTTTGTTGCGGGTGGTTTATTATCATCAGGTGTTAAACGAACAATTGGTGTACATTCAGCACGGCCAAGAAAATCGGGTGTACCCTTAAGGAATCATAGCCACTTTAACGAAGTTAGATCCTATACGTTACGCTGGCGAAGAATGGATTCGAGCAAAAACCGAAAATAATACATAGTCAAAGTTTATAATATTCAAACATAAATTTCCTCAATACGATTAGCAGACAGAGAAATTACAACTGCAAATTTTCAAAAAGTAACGTGTTGAAGAAAAATTAAATTTCCTAATTAGTCTGTAAGACTCTCGATATTTCAGTAACCCCGACAAATTTCAGTTAACCAAGAATAATAAAGATATAGCAAAAGCAAAATCATCAATCAAGTTTAATACTGGTCATCATGATTGCTCTGGTCATCAACAGAGCAATCATTCACCATAATAATAGTAACTCCATGTACAGTTATATAACAAGTTGCAGACTGAATAGTCAAATTGCTAACTCAGAAACTCACAATTAATTGTTCCCATTAAACCTTCGAAAAAACAACAATCGGGTACAGAGGAGTAGAAAAAGTGATCAAACCACATCACTATTTCTAAGTGGATTTCCCACTAGCAAAGAACTATCATCCCAGGCAAAAATAAACCCATAGAAACGGCAAGAAAAATGCGTTTTTTCTGAACGATCGTTAAAAGAGCCGTTTAAACGCGTTTTTTTCAAAACTTTAGAATAACGCGTTTGCTAATGATCGTTGAATTAACCGTTTTCTGCCGTTTTTGTTGAACGCGTTTTCTAACGAAATTAAAACGAGCGTTGAAAGGCGTTTATTTCATATAAAAACGCGCGTTAACGTGTCGTTTTTAAACGCGTTTACAAAAAGAAAAAAATTCGAAGTTATATCGCTTTA